AGAGAGAGATAGAGAGAGAGAGACGAGAGAGAGAGAGAGAGAGAGAGAGAGAGAGAGAGAGAGAGAGAGAGAGAGAGAGAGAAAGAGAGAGAGAGAGGGACCTCAAGTGTGCAACAGTCACTCGTTAGTAAGGTGAGTCACCTCCCCCGTCACCATACCGATATTTCCAGTATCATAGAGGGAGCCAATGATTTCATGTGGTAGTAGAAGATGATGTTGAACCAGGCCAGACCGCTTGCCGCGGGAATCTTCATATTCCTGGGCCGAACTCCGGCTGCAATCAGGGGGTGAAGGAATACTGATGAAGCCACGGGGCTGCTTTCAGCTGAATCCTTGAATCATTGATCTCGCGAATCGGGGCTTGAAAGTCTGACCCCAAAGTATCTGACGTAGCTCGCAAGCAGCTAGGGTGCATGAATGGTTGCGGCAAAATTTTTCGCCATGGTTGCCGGTCAGTCCAACGAATCAGGCATCGGAGCTGGCCCCAAGAATTCTGATTGATGAAAGAATGGGCCAATTCTACCAAATCCTTCCTCGGGTTTAACATAGCATAGATTTTAGATAGACTATAATCGCAATGCCATCATTCCCCCAAGCAGCTCGCAATAGTTGCTCCCAAGACACGGCACCACACACTGAGGAAGCCTTCGAAGACGTTCCAGTGATTTGGCGAGCTGGTCCAAGGGGACCTGCGATGTGGTGGGGCGCCGGCTGCTATAATAACCTTTATACCTTAATTAAAGGGCTCTAGACCTCAAGCCAATTATAGTGTACCAACAGAACTGAACCTTGGAGAGTGCTTGGCTAGCTTGAAAGCGGGGCTTTGGGTCATCGGGGCTTTGGGTCTCCGGGCTTCAGGGTCTTAACGGGTTCCGGGCTTAGGCCTGTTTTTCGTGTATAAGTTGGTCAATTTAGGGGTTTGTTTTGGTGTGTCTGGGCTACTGCTGCAATCTTTATTGGGATCTGAGGATTTCCGCGGAAGGCACAACTGCGAGCAGCCAAGCCTGGCCAACAGATAACAGCTTCAGAATATCGTCGCACGTTTCTTTCACATACTGGGTGGCCCAATTTCCATTCTCGGCCATCGCGACTCGCACTCCATGCTCGGGGTTATTGGGAGAATGAGTAGATGCCTTGTTGTGTGTACTGGGAATTGTTGCGCATTCTCTGGGGTTACATGGGCTATACAGCTAGTATGTCATCGTGGGGGTCGACATCCAATGGTTGGTTTCTAGAAAACTATATTGGAATGAGTAATTACGGGTTATTGGGCATAAAGTAGCTTCACGGGGATCTCTGTTGCATTGAAAGCGGAAGCTCAGGCAATTGCAAAGCGGAGATCGCTGCTGCTTCGATACTGTGCTGCAAGACATGCAATGGCAGTGGAGGCCGGGGCGGATACATGTTTTGGCATCGCAGCAGCTTCGAGAATGCCCCTGAGGCCCAGGCAGCTATTATGCCCGGGTTAAACAGTATCGGTTTGTCGACAAGCCCATGCAGAGCTAACTTGACACCCGACTGAGCCAGTTTAGATACCACCTGGTTAATTAGCCAATCCAATTAGCCACGGCCAGAATAACATGGTCTCAAAGCCAGCCTTATGTCGGGATTTCGCCGCTAGCAGCATGCTTGCACTATACAAACCGCCCCTAGCTCCCCAGCCGGAGTTGATCAAACAACACCGGATCGATCATCCTAAGTTTCACAGCAGCCTGCCTTTCAAAGGAACACCTAGAGTGGCCTAGGATCGGTGGCGCTTGGCAGCAGGGGCTGCGTTTTCATCAGCATCTGCATCATACACATCCTCCGGCCATTCTTCCTGTCCTTCCATCTCAGCGTCCTCCTCCTCTTGCACTTCAGCATACTCATCCGGATCCTGCTGGCCGTCGGCCTCCTGCTGTTTCTTCTTCTGTTCTTCTTCAGCTTTCTCGCGCTTTCTCTTCTCAGATGCCTTACCTAAGTAAGTGGAGGTTGAATACTGAAGAAGCTCTACGAAGAACTTAATGCAACTAGAGAACGGCGTTCTTGTCCAACCAGAATGCCCTCAGCGTCGAGAACCTGGCGTTGGTAATCCTGCGGGACATAGGTCGTAGACAGACCACATAATACTCTGCAAAACACCCATTGTCATAAGTTTGCAAGCGACCCTTTAGCTCGTTTTCCTTGTAATAAAGCATGCACCGCTCGCACTCATCGAAAGGCGTCGATGCGAAGATCATCTGCTGGATCCTGGGCCGGGTTAAAGTCTGGGGAGCCTGGACACTTGGCGACTTAAAGTTCGGGCTAGCTACCGAAGCCGGTTCAGGATACCTTGCTTGAAACACTTTTGGGTCGGGTTTGTAGTGGTTGGTATACAAATAGATATTCTAATACAGTATAGCAATATCTCTATAAGTGCATATATATATATATACATGTATATATATATATATATATGCAGATATGCATATACACATATACATATTCTATAGAGCGCATAGTATATACATATGTATATATATATATATATATATATACTTGGGTATCCCAATACTGTACCATACAGTATTAGTGCCTCTGGGGTTTTCAATCGGGTTGCGGGTTCAGTATTCACGTGGTCCCTATACTAATATTTAAAAAGGATTCCGAATCAACATATACCCGTTGGAGTACGTTTTCAATTCTAAAGCCGAAACCTCTAAGTCTAAAACCCTGCACCCTAAACCACTAGAATCTTGCCTGTATGAACCCCATAAGCTCTTGAAGCCAAAAGACTCGTCCCGGATGTTGCCACACTTCGTGGCAATGTTGCCAAGTTGGCTGATAAGGCCTTCCTGATTTGCTAAACCGCATTGGCCCAATCCGGCGGCGACGCTGACGGCTTTGTCAACGAGATCTCTCACCCTCAGCTTGTAGTGTGATAATATTTAAATGGTGGGGTACTGCAACTGCAATCAAGCAAGATCCGTCTTTCACTAAATATGTCGAGCCACGATTGCAAGTCCTTATCGAAAGCCTTTTTCGCAATCTCCTCCGGTGTAAGTTCCTGCAGGACTAGAAATACTGAAGAAAGCTCCCGGTAAATCCCGATAAACACTTCCCAGTACGATTCTCTCGCAGTCCTTTTTGCGTTTGTTCTTTCCATCCCCTTTCTTGGGCGCCGGTGTCAAGGCACTTTTGTGCATCCCTGCGACCTTTCCTTGAATCGTCTCTGCGATAGCAGCTCTCTCTGCCTTGTTGGTCGAGGCCTCCACGCTGGCCGTCGTCTTGTTGCCGACTCTGTTGATGTTCGCATCTTGGCACAATACTATATCATAGAGGGTCACCGGGCCGGAGGGAACTAGCACACACTTTGTAAGTGGATATGATCCTGCCCAGGCACTGCTGATAGTGTTCGACTTGAAGAGCTTATACAGCCGCATGTTTTCATCATCGGATTGTGGGTGCTTCTTCCCGGCGCCCTGACCTTATGCATAAGAAAATGTTCTAGATAGTAACATAAACCCCTGATCAAGCTTGCATACGAATCTTGAGGCAGCCGCTCTGCATCAGCTCGGCAAGAAACTTCTTACCTCCCTCCACCTTCTCGTAAATTTCTTTGATCATGCACAATGGCAGCTCTTCGAAGATTTCTTTCTCTTTGGCCTCGGAAAGCCTCGATGTTGCGGGTTGATGCCAGCTAGGAATTCGGACCAAGGGTATCTGTAACAATCAGCCGAGGGACTCCTCGTAGTAAGGCGAGACTACGATGCTAGACATGTCCTTGTCCAAGAGGAAAGCCTTCAGAAATTCGAACCTCGGTGTTGGAAACTTGAGTCTGGACTTATTTAACTGGTTTAGGATTTGGGCCTGAGGGTTTTTAGGAGGTTGAGGCTTCTTGGATCAGAGGGATTTCAAACATGTTTGTAATCGAAACGAGGAGCCGGGCCATGGAGCCTGGCGGGGTTGCAGCCCATTGAGCCACCAAGCCCTTGCGTAGGCCTGTGCTAAAATACACTCAGCAATCATCGAGTGGCCCAATTATATGAGATTGTGAAATTATAGCTAAAAGCCGGCCTTGGCCATTGTTCATGCGCCTACGGAGCTTCTCGTTCAGGGCCTTGCGTTGCTGGAGCGGGATGTCTGCGGGGCCAGATAGAGCCTGGGCGTGCAGGAGATCTTAGTGTTTATCAGGATATAGAACGATCCAGGAATCCACGGTATCAGGCTATTTATATGGGGGGAACAATACATTGTAGTGGACTACTTCAAAATATGAGTCAGGGCACTTGAATCTGTGCTCGCTCGTCATCAGTGAGAGGTCGTGCCTCGCGCACACACACATACACATGTATGCATGTAGAAATTTGTCTTGTGCATATAAGAGCGAGTTGTGACTATGCGTGTGTACCCGGCTGGGAATATATAAGTACAGCTGAGACACACCATCAGCAATATTAAGCGGCGCCATCTCGACCGGCCCCAAGCCATCACTCGACGTCGAGAGACCGGTATCCGACCGGAGGATGGGCCGACCGGGCCTTGGTAGATGTCAAGACTAACGTATTATAGTGGACTTACATATATAGGGCATGATCGACAAGTATAGTGAGTACATTAATCGTGTCAACCAGGCAGCTTTGCACCCCTGTCTGGCAAAGATGGACTCATCGATGTCGTAGTGGAGACTGTGCGGAAGCATACACAGGGATATTGATCATCATGGAGCATGAACTATAACAACCTGTGTGCGTGGTTTAGATGAGAATACACATCCCGCCTTCATCGAAAGACACCCTGCGACGCACTGCGTGGTCTTGGCCGTCCCATCCAATCTTCACTGTGCCTTTGCCCTCCGGTGCGGATGCCTCCTTGGAAACGGCCTTGGTCTTGCCCTTGCCTTTGTTACCTTTGGCTGTGTTGCTTGGGGGTGTGCCGGTATGAGGGCTGGGCAGTCCAGCTGTCGACCCATTCCTTGGCGGGGGGGTATGCGGATCAGTGCTGAGTCCCCGTCCTTTGCCAGATCCTGGCTCACTGGCCTCCGGACTCTTGGTTTTGCCCTGCTTCCCGCCTTTGGCACCCTTCATGCCACCGGTCTGAGCCTCATCCTTTCCAGGGGTTTTGCCGCCATCCTTTCCAGGGGATTTGCCACCATCCTTTCCCGTGGTTTTGCCGCCATCCTTTCCAAGGGATTTGCCACCATCCTTTCCGGGGGTTTTGCCGCCATCCTTTCCAGGGGATTTGCCACCATCCTTTCCGGGGGTTTTGCCGCCATCCTTTCCAGCGGATTTGCCACTATCCTTTCCGGGGGTTTTGCCAGCATCCTTTCCAAAGAATTTGCCACCATCCTTTCCGGGGGATTTGCCAGCATCCTTTCCAGGGGATTTGCCACCAGCCTTTCCGGGGGATTTGCCAGCATCCTTTCCAAGGCTTTTGCCACCAGCCTTTCCATCCGTGTTGCCACCATCCTTTCCCGGGGATTTGCCACCATCCTTTCCGGGGGTTTTGCCCCCATCCTTTCCGGGGGTTTTGCCACCACCCTTTTCTGGGGATTTGCCACCACCCTTTCCTGGGCTTTTGCCACCATCCTTTCCAGGGCTTTTGCCAGCATCCTTTCCGGGACTTTTGCCACCAGCCTTCCCAGCGGCTGTGCCAGCACCATTGGCACCATCCTTTCCATGGGTTTTGCCACCACCCTTTGCCAGCTTTCCTTTCCCAGGATTTACAGCGGCACCATTTGAATCGACCATCTTCCCGACATACGTGTAATGCCGTGGCTGGGTTTCGATGGACAAATCAATCGACTCAGGAGCCGATGCATCCCCGCCGGCAGCACTCTTAGATCCTTTTTGGGCTTTGCCTTTTCCGGAGCCACCCATGGCTGATCAATCTAAAGCTCAAATAGCTCGATCGGTGATGCTTCGGGGTGCGCGCGAAATGCTCTAAGTATCTAACAGCCGATACACGCTGATACACGCTATTCGCCTGTTCATACCTGCAAATACACGCAGATACACGCTGATACACGCTAGCTGCTGGGTACGCTCCCGGCCGGATGTGCATGGCGAACACACCGAGTGCATAATAATTTGGGTTCCGAGGCAACTTCTGAGCCTGCAGTTCACCCGTTACAAGCACAAAATTTAACAGCTGACCCCTATTCAAGCTGCCGCATAGCAAAGGTATAACACCTGCACATCTGGATCACTGTGGGCCGACCAGGTCCTCGAGGCCAGAATCGGAGCTTGAAGTATCACTGCTGTCCATAAGCTCCATATCCAGCTCGTTGACAACAGGTGTTGGCTTCAGGGTCTTGAAATGTTCATCCAGTAGATCAGCGACCTACATCCATGTGGGCCCCGGGGATCGATCATGTGCACGCACCACTCTACGAGTTTTGCTGTCATTTAATGCATGACGGGGAACCTTCAATGCCAAAGTACCAGGGTAAACAGCCGTCGCTGTCAAATCCTTCCCACCCACCTCGATAATCTTGACATAGATCAAAGTAAGTCCCACTTGAACTGAACTTCAAAGCAAAACACACACAGAAATGGACAAGGCACTCGGCGAGCACGGCCGTGCTCATCGACATATCCACGGATTATGTCCATCTTGAGGAAGGATTGGATACGACGCAGCTGGTTCCTGATTGAGACTTTTCCGGTTAGTCAGGTAGTTCCCTGTTCGGCATTCTACTTTCATAGGATTGAGGTTTTTGGGTGTGTGCGAGCCGTGTACAGTATATACTCTATCCCCAATACATCTAGCACGATAGTTCGAATCTATCCATAGAAGCAATCGAAGCTGCATACAACATGTGTTCTAGTATGTTACATGTGTTCGTGTGGGTATATGTACATATATAACCATGAAAAGCTGGTGCGGCATGATCTAATCTAGGTAGATATCAATCTAGCTTCGATTATCGGTACAGGGAGCTATATATGTGCGTATGAGAGAATTAAAGGCTCGTCCTTCCCACCGCCGACATTCTTTTATACCCTACATTGATGTCATCGAATGAAACCAAGAACTCCCAGAACTTCCTAACATCCTCATATAGCTACTAGCTGGTATTGGGTGTTTTAAGTATATACCTAAACGATGGTTGAATACCACGAACTTAATTATATAGAAGCTGCAAAGATGAATTCCTGTAATCAACCTTTAAACTCGGAGGCTGGGGCTCCTCCTTGTGCCGGACAGTTGTTCGTAGAGCTTGTTCAGAAACGGCGCAGTGCCCCATAGCGTAACCTAGGTTGATTCGGATGGGTCGATCTTAATTGCAGGGCTTGGAACTACATATATCGGGTCAAGTAGCACACTTTCTCGACGGAGCTCCCACGGCTCCGAGGCAAAGGTTTATGGATTTGGCATTGTGGGCTGGCAATCTCGCCTCAAGTTTATGAACAGGGCTTCTATCGAAGGCTTGGGATTGCGCGAAGCTTCAGGTTTAGTGGATTTGGGGGAGTCTTATATTTGCAGTCTGAAACACCTTTATGCACGGATACTCGAACAGCATGGAGCCAGTGGGATTTTCGAGGATGTAGTAGGACCCAGATCGGTGTTGATATTCGATCCTCGAGTACGCACTAGTCCTAGCTCATCCTGCAAAATGATAGAGGACGACATATAGTGCATCACGGCCGCAAATATGCAACCCGTCTAGCCAACCGGTTGGCATCCTTGACCTTTTGGCGTTTCGGATCGCCTCAGATACGGCAGAACCAATCAACTTTTGTACGTGCAGCAAGAATCTCTATATTTAGGCTTTGGGAATACATTTCGGGCTTCTAAAAGCCAGCTGTCCTTTGACATTCAAGCGCCGGCGCTTCGAGGATCCACGACTCCTAAGATGAAGTTGCAGCAATGCATCGATGCAATATCTAGTGTTGCTATTTTGCTTACATTGCAGCCAAAGCTCATAAATATCCAGCTAGAACACGGGACGGCATACCAGGCCACCCCTTGGGGCCTAAGCCGCCTCGCCTAAGTGGTTCCCCATCCATCAGACACGGAAACCCTAAAATAATCCCAACTCGACTTGCAAGCCAGATATAGGCTCCGGTTTAATCGGGTGGCAGGATAGCGTTTAGGGTGGAGGGCCGGGAAGTTAGGGTTTAACACTAAGAAGGTGTAGATATATGTATATATATATATATATATATGGGTTGAGGTGAAATTTGATATATAATCGAAATCTAATTATCGAGACTATAGGGTTTGGGATGTATATGTAGAGTTGGGGTGCTGGCTTAAATTCGGGTGTGATGGGATCCTTGCCGAGTTGCACAGTTCAAGAAAACCATGAATCCAAATGAGGATAAGATGTCCAATTTGGTGGAGTAAGCTACCTTGGATGTAGGAAGGTTTCGAGAGTTTCGGCCGAAGTTCATCGGTTCTAGGTTCTAAGCAGTAAAGTCTCGTCCACTCCATGGCATCGGAGGCCATAGAGCTTCGCGGCGGAGTAGAGGAGGTGTGCTCCTTCATGCAGTGTTACAGTATATATACATATATATATACATATTCTGCAGCTTAATGCATGCAGTCTACAAGAAGGCCGAAATGAACATCACGAAGCTTGAGCTAGTCCTGCGAAGATCTCCACAAAATCTAAGTCGTCAGGTTTGGGGCCGAAACCTGAAGCACCAGCTGCATGCAGCAGCAAAATACATTCCCTCGCGTGTAAGGAATGACGATCGCTGAATCTGGCCCAGCTGCTGATCCTCAACGTCGCCAAGGCGACGAGCAGCTGAGTATACTTCATAACGGGATCCTATCCTATGGTTATAAATAGGATAACCTCCAATATATTACTGTGATTCTTCTATATAAGGATACAAAGCATTAGCTTACCATCTACGATGCATGGTCTTTAAGACCTGACAACTTTGAGCACATACACAGGATGTAGATAGCCATGCAACCCCAGCGTCGGCCCGAGACTTTGCAAGCAGAGGGACCTGTAAAGCGAGTTTTCACGAACCTGGCATCGATGACAGCTCTCCGACCCCCAAGTTGCAAGATTAATCGCACTGCTCACTTGCATAAGCAGCGCATGCCAAAAACTGTGCACGCACACTGCTCTAAAGCCCCCTGCATCGATCAGAAGCTTCTCGAGTATATAGTCTGAGGTCGCGGAACTGTAAACAAGCGGTAAATGAATCATCACACACAGACTCTAGCTCCTGATCACACAATCCCTGCTTGAAACGCAGCAGATCACACACAGCTGGCAGCACTATCGTCGCCAAAAGCTCGCAACTTTAAACTATTGCATAGCGGCGACGCTTCATCTCATTGATGTCCATTCCCTGCAGCACCTGCTTTCTCTCCTCACTGTTGTTCCACCTGCGGGCATAGAGACTTGAGGGTTTTGGGTTAAGGGGTTTAGGGCTTATAGGGGTTTAAGGAAGAATCTCTCGAGGCTATATGATCCTGATTATCAACCCATAGTGGGAATTCTCAAATATATTAAAGAGTCTCATGCAGCATGCCTCAAGATTTCAGTATTGAAAGATTTCGGGCTTTCGCCAGGTTTCCAGCATTTATTGCATTGAGAATTACCCACGTACTAGGGTTGATGCTTGTTGATTGTTCGAATTCATACGCTTGCAGCAGTGTCACTTGTCATGTGAGTAAAATCTACAAGTGTAAAGTGCCCGCGAGAAGAGAGAGAGAGAGAGAGAGAGAGAGAGAGAGAGAGAGAGAGAGAGAGAGAGAGAGAGAGAGAGAGAGAGAGAGAGAGAGACAGAGACAGAGAGAGACAGCTCCAAGCTCCAAAAGCCAGCTAAAAGCTCCACACAAACGGGTAAGCATCGGTCACCTAAAATTTAGGTGACCCAAATAAACACTCAGAGTCGGTCACCTAAAATTTAGGTGACCCAAATAAACACTCAGAGAGAGAGAGAGAGAGAGAGAGAGAGAGAGAGAGAGAGAGAGAGAGAGAGAGAGAGAGAGAGAGAGGGATAAAGTGTGAGATGGCCAGACAGAGACAGGGACCAGGGAGGATCCGAGTGGACCGAGGCAGGATAGTGAAGCGGAGTCGGGGGTCAAAGAGAGACTGGACGGGTGAGCAGAATACCATACACATACTCTGATCTTATCGGAATCCATTGATTCCAACAAGCCAGCACTGGCAAATGGCGAATTCGTCTGCTTCGGCGCCTTTTTTATGCGACGCGACCCACAATCTGTGATTAATGCATGACGAGTGGGCTAGCTCCGAACATTGTCGTTGCCGACCTAGAGCTGTTAAAGCCAGAACATCAAGAACGCGTAAACTCATGCTGCGTGAGCCGCTATCTGATGATTGGATCGATGATCCGACCATGATTCACCGGTTGTTTGGAGTACTGCATGCGGTCTCAATCCTATTAGCTGTTCGAAGGGTGTTGGGTTTGTTGGGATTGGGTTTGTGAATCCGTAGGATGGTTCTTCTTTTGTATCATTAGTCGGTTCGTTCCTGGGCCTCCTATACAACCGCTGCATTGGCGATGTGTAGAGCCGTATACATAATCCGACATGCAATCCCAAGGCCCCCCAGCATGAGGCCGTCAATCTTCCATCGATCTGTCAGATTGCTGCAACAATGCCATGCATGCAAGAGGGTTTTGTAAACAAGTCCCGCCAGCTCTTGTTGCCAGGTGCAGCATCGATCAAAGTATGATCTATGTGTATTCCAATAAGTAACAAAGTGCGTTATTCCGTATTTGACCTTAAATCATTTCGTATAGTTATGACAATGGACAATGGCTGCTATTTCACAGCCCCTAAGCCCGAAACCCTACTTTCTAAACGTCAAGCTTTGCATGGCAGGACTACCGATGGATGGACGGCTGCTCCTTTACATCTTTCTCGAGGACAACGAATGCACTTAAATACCACAACCCCACCAGGGTCTCGGATTGGCGTTTTTTGTTTTTCGAGGGATGGCTTGGTTCATTGCCCGGCGATTAAATCAAGTACCTGGAAGCTCTTGGACCCCAGGGAATCTCCAATTCCTAAGGATGAATCGATCTAGATCTGCTGAATGCACCGGAAGAATTTCAACAAGTCCTTGGATGCACTTGATCCCAAACAAATGCCGTCATATACCGATCCCTATTAATTCCTCAGACCAAACCACACAAATTCAGTCGTGTCTACATGCAGACAACCGGGCCCTCGAATTATTGGGATTATGTTGGTCTTGAAGCCTCAACCCTCAGTATTCGTACCCATCGTCTTGATTTATCTATTGTAATGCCCCCCAAATTACCTCAACACTTCACACTGCAGTCAAATGACGATACATCCCAAATTCACATACACCGAAGCCCATTAGACTATATTATTAAAGGCTAGATCACAAACACAGAAATCCGTTGTGAACATGCAGGCAGTATTGAAGCTGCCTGTGCTGTCGCTCCGCGAAACGCATGCCCTTGTCCAACCTGGGGCGTGCTCCGGGTTACGATTTCGGAGATAGATGCTGAAGCTTCGGCTACTATATTCAGATCAGGAACGTAGCAAAGTACTTCTTTCTCTCGATGTTGTATTCCGTGTCTGCATACGGTGGTCTCGTCCCTTTGCTTTTGGCGGCCTTCTTTTTTGCACTCGCCTCGGCCTTCGCTTTTGGTTTCGCCTTTGCTTTCCCATTCTTCTTCTCCTTCTTCTCGGCTTCCATTGTTGCAGAGGCTTCTGAAAGGTCGCGGGTGCGATCAGCTGGCTTGCCATGATGCACGGCCTGAAAGCTTGCGAGAATGTGGCTGGGCAGTGAGATAGGAGTTAGCGTGACTCGGATCGGTCCTTGACCCTAGAATACTTCGTTGGTTAATGCTGTGGGTGATATTATTCCTTGGGCCCCTATATGATTAAACAAAGTATTCTAACTTAAACCCAGGATGTAAATCTCAAGACCGATGCTCATGCGTTCTCGAATCGCGCACAAACACACAATTGGACCGTATGCACTCCTCTCCTCTCCGCCTGCCTCATCATTGGCAGTCTTGGCCGGGATCTTCGGGCACCTGGGCGGGGTTTCTATAGGGGTCGACATCTACTAAATTAATTCTCGGGATTGATGCAGCAGATGCACGCAGGCATTGACGTATCAGGGCTGGATCCAGGGAGCTCCTTCGTCGGAAGCCTTGCAACCTTATGAGCAAAATCGTCAAGCCACACGCTTCCAGCATAAGTTGTCGAATATCTTATTTGACCGGGAAGCGATAAGCCGATTACACATAGCAAGCTTCTCCTCATCGGTGGCTGCGTCGAGCCAGAGTGCCATGTCCTGCGATCGTGGGTTCTGTTTATGGTAACACGATTCGGATTAAAATTAAGGCTTAGCGGTTTAAGGTTTCTGATGATAGCAGTCGCAACTTTGTTGTGGTTTATAGGGCCTTGTAGGCTTGTAGGGTTTCCATTTTAGGGTTTGGGATTTCTGAACTACAGACCCACTACAGTCCAACCAAACTCGGCTGGCCACCGTGGATGCGCACTAATTCGTTTCAATATCTATGGACTGGTTTACCATTAGGTTACATTTTAGTTTTATACTAGTAGTCAGCTCAACCTGGTCTACTCAAATCAGATTAAACCGTATGGTTCTGTTCTAAATTGATTCCATCTATAGCCCGCCATATTATTCCAATATAAGCCAACTGCGTTTGAAATCTGATCTCTATATATGCCACCACATGTGCAGATTGATATTCGTACATTGGTCTATATTATTACTTAGCGTGAATATCGGTTATATGCGTTAGTCGATATAGCTTATGAGTTTATTTCTATGATCTATCTCATTATCTATCTACTTTGAAGATTTACTCATGTATACATGTGTATATATATACAAACATACATACATAGCAGGCTTATCTGTGTACTTCGATCTTTGATTGAAAAGTTAGTCTACCAAGTTGTGTAGTATAGGTTCGTTTTCATACATATACCTATATATATATACACATATTCATTTGTTTCAACCTCCGGTACCTATTCAACTTAGTGGTACATCTGACTAGTCTTGTGTTCTATGTTCGACCACGATATCTTCAAACGACCGTCCTCGAGGCTTGTGGGCATCGGCTCAGCGTGATTCACGGGCTCTGTGGGGTTCGAAACCTTCTTGTTCCCGGCAGTGGAAGGCTCCTGCATGTGTGCGGGATATATAAGAATAATTCAATCAATCCGAACCACGAAACATACAAAACTAGTTAACTATATGGACTCCTGGGCTGGGTTTGTCTTGTACTTGGACCACCAAACATCGAGACGCTCTCGGTCGGCCTTCGTAGGATACTCCTGGGTCACGTTTGTGATCGGGGCCCTTGGCCACGTGGGGTACATGTCGGTCTCTGCGCCGACAGCCGCCTCCCACTCCTCATCAGCCATGCTTGTGCCATCGTGATTGGGGTCTTCATCATCGGCAGCTGTCCACTGCTCGCCCTCGGGATTGGGGCCTTGCTCATCGGCAGCTTTCCACTGCTCCTCGTGATTGGGGCCTTCATCATCGGCAGCTTTCCACTGCTCCTCATCCGGGCCTTCATCATCGGCAGCTTTCCACTGCTCCTCATCGGGGGCGTGATCATCGGCAGCTTCCCACTGCTCCTCATCGTGATCGGGGCCTTCATCATCGGCAGCTTCCCACTGCTCCTCATAGGAGCCTTCATCATCGGCAGCTTTCCACTGCTCCTCATCGGGGCCGTCATCATCGGAAGCTTTCCACGGCTCCGCCTGGTGACTGGGATCATCGGCAGGCCATGGCTCGTCCTGGGCAGACAACTGCTGCTCATCGTCAGCAGCCCAACTCTCACCCAAGTGCTCGGCTTGATTAACGTCTTCATCACCATTGGGAACCCATGGCTCCTCATCGGGAGCCCACTCCTCCTCGCCAGCCCAGTCCTCATGATCATGACTGGCGCCGGTTTCCCACGGCTCCGTGTGATCGGGGCCTTCATTGCCATCGGCAGGATCTTCATCGGCGGCTTCATCACCACCATCGGCCCCAGCGCTCTCACCCACGGGAACAAACCACATCTCCACCGGGGGCTCATCACCCACGTGCCACTCCTCTCCGTCGAACCAGTGGCATGACCCGCATTTGGAAATCGCATCCTCTGTATACTATCATAGCCTATCCCTACCTACCCCAAAACCCAACCAGCTTTAGGGTTTAAGTTTAAGGTTTAGGGTTCAGGGGTTGAGGATTTATGAGGGTCCTATTGGGCCCAGGTTAAATATTCTACTCGGGGTTGATAATTGCAAACGGTCCTCAGGGCCATCATAAATCTCACGAACCTGCGACGCGTCCTTCCACGACCAATCGTCACTCGCCTCGGATTTGCAGGAGGACCGGGTCAACATATATAGCAACTCTACATACATGTCTGTATGCATCCGGAATAGTGCAAACTATGTCACCTTTGGCATATCACTCTCCCCATCCTTGGATAACTGACCGGGTCAAGCATTGCACACTGCACGCGAAGCGCACTCAAACTGCGAGTAATATATACCGTGCTATTCAAAGAAACCTTGGGAACAGGAGCAGCGACGCCATCGCCAAAAGCATGTTCATCTTCATCACCCCATTCCTCTTCCGGATTTTCCCCCTCAGTTGCACAAAGTATATACAGCCGGATCGAACTCGCAACAAGTCTGAATACCTAGCCTTAGGGTTTATCTATTGAATTGAGCAACCTCGACGTCGGTATCAGGAATGCAAAGGTGGCTCGGCCTCGGATCACGCACACAAAGTCACATTGAAACAAACCTTGAATTTAGCGGTCTAGGGGCACATAATGCTCGGTCCCGGTTGCGTCTTGGCACGTAAGCGCAGGCGTTTCGATGGCTGGAGATCGGCAGCCTTATTGAAATTGTTTGGTTGGATGTATTCACTACCAAGTAGATATTTGGTAGCTATAGTCGGAGGCAAGACACACCCATGTCACTGGAAGATCTTTTGTTGATCAGTGGCACCTGCGCGTCCTGCCCGGGGCTAGTCTATCAACATTCAGGACAATTTCTCGCGAATACGAAACTGGATAGAAGTGATTGCTGGTACAGTATGGTACAGTCCTCCATTGGATCTAGCTCCCAAGGCTGTGTCTCACCATCGTCCATGGCTTCGTCGTCTGATTTAGCAGATCCAACAGTACTCCTTCGGGCCTTCGACAACAAACTCGCCAAGCTATCCGAGGTGGTGGTGTACCAGCTTTCCCAACTAAAGCCGGGGGTAGTCTCGGGGACCTCGAGAGCATGGCTATCCACAATCTTGACCAATGCATCTTTGACCATGCCAGTGGTAAACCACCTCCCATCTAGCTGGCTAGCCCAACTCAGGAGCTCCCTCGTGGCACGATGTCGAAGGCTGTTAGTGGGTGTCAGTACCCCTGTTTCCCGGATTTCACATAAACGAGGCTGGCATACCTTCTCCCAGATCAACTCAGCCAGTCTCTCAACCTTCTGCTTGCGACTTTGCTCAGCAACGTAGGAGGGCATGGCTAGCTACAGTGCAGGTCTGGATGCAATGATTTCCACCGTACGTACAGTGCAATATACACTGCTGCATGCATGCAGGATCACATGCTGCACATGTTTCGATTTAACATGCTACAGGCCGGTGCTCGATCAAAAACCCTGTGGCATTCGTTTCCATCGATCAATGGTCGAACTGCAGCATGCATGCAAGCACACATGCATGTGATCTGATGAACAGCACCGACAATCGCCTCGATCCAGAAATGCCCAGCAAGGGCTCGTTCCAACTCGGACCGATCCGTGGTCCAACTATCTGACAGAAATATATTGTTATGTATAAAAGCTGTGTATGTATATATATATATATATGTATAGTTAGCCTGGTATATTTGTAAGAGTTATGTATTTGTGGTGTCTTAAGGATTTAAGGTCTTTTTGTTTTTTCTCCCGTCGAAGTATCACACCGCGATCCTCGTCGCGTGATACTCGGTATATAGTAGGGGTGAAACAGTAATGCCCTGTACATGGACTGTACATTTACGTTCTTGATGGTTCTCGATCGCGCAGAAATATGGTCGGTTTGTTGTCTCTGCGGTACGGAACGATGGACAAAATCACTCACTCGAACAACAAGTTTTCGAGACAGGATCTAACAAGCGAACAGGAACGAACTAGTGATTGGGATGCAAGCATCGAATAGCCCGTGGTGGAAGGTTCCGGGCTTCGGAGTGCGCCGAGGGCCTACCCCGCTATTTGGAGAAGCCACTGCTACAGGAGCTCATCGCTATGTCGCAAGAGGCGATCGAGCGGCTAGACAGAGAGCCGCTACCGAGAAAGTGGCTAGCGGCTGGGGTGCGGCAGCAAAGCCCGCTAACATGTTGGAGCGCCGCGTGCTCTCCGCTACAATTGGGCGGACCTGTCGCAGGACGACATAGATAGCTTGGATGCTGCTATGTCCGCGAACCTTACCCAAAAGTTTGCCGCTACCGAAGCCGCTACAGCTAGGGCGCAGATGGAGCAGCTAGCCGCTGCCAATGCGGCCGCTATTGAAGCCAAAGCTAAGGCCCGCAAGGAGGCAGAAGCGCTGGCCGCTAAGATCGCAGCGCAGAAAAAGGCCGAGCACGACCAGAGGGTCGCAGCGGCCGCGCTAGCTGAGAAGAAGCGTGAAGCCGCAGAGCGGCTCGCTAAAGAAGAGGAAGCTGCCGAACTGGAGTTCCAGCGTGCGGTGGCCGCTAGCAAGGCCTCCCTGCAGGCAGCAGAGGCGACCGCTAGTCGGGACCCGACAGCTACGGGCAGCACCGACCCGGCTCCGGTGCCCACCGCTACAACAGGAGCCGCTACAGGGGATCCCACGCCAGCTGAGGCAGCCGCTAGGAGGTTCATGGATGTGGGGCCGACGGCCGCTCCTACCTCCTTCCCCCGCGCTACGAGCCCGAGCCGAGGCAGAGCTAGAAGCCCGGGCCGTGGCAAGGGGAAAGACAACGCTAAGGGCAGGGGCCAGCAGGCCGAGGGCAAGGGCCCACCCATCTTCCACTACACGTGGGGGATGCTATTTGACGACCCCGACCGCTACCTTGTTCTGCTACCTCGCTCGCTTCAGCAGCAGCGCGCTATCGAGGCAGCGGGTGGCATGCCGGACAACGTCCGCCAGGCTAAGGGGACACCGGTGAGTGTCGCGCTAGCCGAGCCAGGCCTCCCGGCCGGAGCCCACGCTAACAGCTTGCCCAGAGGCACAAGCTACTGGTACCTTGAGCTACCGTGGTCCAGCATCGACCGCGATCTCTGGCCGCTAGGTGCATGGGACCGCCGCTACGAGCTGGGCAAGGGCAGAGGCCCGAACCCTCGCTATGGAAAGGGTGAGGATGGCAACCTCACGCTGGACGCGGTCCGCTACGACGAGCACCTCTATGACCTAGGCAGGGAGGATGCCGCGCTAATGTGTCGCTATGCCCCCCCGCCGGCTGGCACCGCCCCGGGGGACAGGGCTAACGAACTGCTAGCCATGCTCCTAGCTGCTATACGCAGTTCCGAACAGGACGCTGCCGCTACTCCCTCGGCCACTGGGACGCTAACGCTGCTATTTTCAGGTGTGCCACTACTTGCGAAGTGTGCCAGCTACTGGGACCACCAAAACCCAGACCTGCCACGGGGCAGCGATCGCAATGTTCACATGAACATGCTATGCTGGGGCTGCCACGTCTCGTCTCGCTGGGGGCCATGCGAGCATATGTATTGCTGCGCTGAGCACGAAGGTTTGCTCGCTGCATCGACCCCTGCAAAAGTCGGCCGGCCGCCCAAGGCCAAGGCTGTCGCCCAGCCATCTTCCAGCGTGCGTACCGTGCCATTGCTGCCAGGCCCCAGTTTCCAAAGCCATCGTGCTGCCAGCGCCGCTCCACAGCCCCAATCTGCGACTCCGTCTGCCGCGGCCGACCCCGAGCTTGCTCGGGTGCTGCGGCAATGTTGCCTGGGTCAATATCTTCCCATGTTTTCTGCGCAGGGGGCAACAGTGGAAATCTTGGCTACTCTGACGCCAAGCTGCTTCGCGAACATGTTCGGGCTGCAGCTCGATCAGATCCACAAGCTCATGGAGCAGATCAAGACAGCCTTGTCACAGGTCAGGAACTTACTTGTCCAGCTTTTCTCATGCCACAACATCTGCGTTAGCTTCTCCTGTCTGCGCCTGGCGTGGCATGAGTCTTCTCTTATATGCTAGCCGTTACTAGCCGTATCTTCATTCTATGAAGCAATGAGATTGCCTCTAGACCGCGTATCTCCATTGTATGAAGCAATGAGATTGCCTGTATACCGCCCGAGACCTAGGCAACGCCAGCGGAGCCAGCTTCGTCCGCTGCAGCAAGTGCAGTGAACTTAGACCTGGCACTTGTCTTCTTCCCCTGCGTTTCAGCATCTTCCCCTGCAAGGCAGCGGCGCAGAAGCCGAAGGCGGAGGCGTCAAGGGTGCTTATCGCCTCATAGCCAATGGCCCCGCGTGCTCGCCTTTGCGCTCGTCTTGGCCAGGTCGCCAGCGACAGTGGAGCTCGTGCGCCGGAGCAGGTCTGGAACCTAGCTTCTGTTGGTGTGCCTGCAGCATTGTCCAGCAGAATCTTCTCCGTCCGCTGCAGCAAGTGCAGTGAACTTAGACCTGCCACTTTTCTTCTTCCCTTGCATCTTAGCATCTTCCCTTGCAAGGCAGCGGGGCACAAGCCGAAGGCGGAGGCGTCAAGGGTGCTTATCGCCTCATAGCCAATGGCCCCGATGCTCGACTTTGCGCTCGTCTTGGCCAGGTCGCCAGCGACAGTGGTGCTCGTGCGCCGAAGCAGGTCTGGAACCTAGCTTCTGTTGGTGTGCCTGCAGCATGGTCCAGCAGAATCTTCACCGACCAGCTGCCGCAACTTCGTCTGTCGGACCTGCCATGTTCTACCCGGTTCGCTCCTCTAAGGCCTTGCCAAAAGCAGCATCGAAGCGGCGTGCCCCCGAGGTCTAGAACTTAGGCCCGGGAGTTTCCTGCTACAATGTGGGTACAATTAAGAAAGCCTGAATTGTCATGATTTGAAGAAC